CCTTATCCCCTTCCTTGCACCCTTATCCCCTTCCTTGCACCCTTATCCCCTTCCTTGCACCCTTATCCCCTTCCTTGCACCCTTACTCCCTTCTTCCCTCTCTCCCTGCAACTATCTGTTCATCTGTCTATCTGTCTCTCCCTAACTTCCATCCAAGGACAGCTTGTGCCTGAGTTCTCCCTCTATATACATGTATTCCCTGCTCTTCAGGCCAGTCCCTGGTAACCCTCTCATGGATTCTTTCCAATATGTTAGCCATTGTGTTTATACTTTTACACAGCCACACCTTGAACTCTCTTTAGAAGAGAAAGTATCTTCAAGAAAATCTTTTCTACATCACAGCTGTTCTCGGAGTCACCTGCCCAGAGTGATCCTACCTGTAATGGAAAAAAATCCATTAAAATTTTTAAACTTCTACATAAGAAATTAATGTCAGTAGAATCAAATACATCTAGTTCATTACCCCCAAAATGTTGCATGTTCAACTAGACTTCAGATCAAAAACACTCATTAAGGTGTTGTGGACAACATTGTAAGTACTCATCTCATAGTGGATGAAAATCTGTGATATGCCCAAATACCAACTAAGACCATTTATTTGAAAAAGAATCATGGGTATTACAAAATGAAAAAGATTGCTAAACCTGCATGTCTATCTCACAATGGTTGCAGGAAATGACTAATTAAAAATATTTTTTCGCATGCCAAAGGAAACCCATTTTCTAGTCGACTCTCAAGGAACATTTAAATGCATATATATAAATTCAACAATGTATGTCCAGGCAGCATGCATGCGAGGAGGTTGGACTGCAGGGTTGATTTAATAGAGTGGCTTTCATTTGAGTGTCGAAAGTAATTAGACAATTACTTTGGTTTTAGTTTTACTACGGTTTGAGATTGGCTAAGTAGTCTAATTGGTAAGTAATTGGTTTGGTTTTGGTTTTTCGACACTCAATTGAAAACCGCTCTAATTATTTTATTTTTAATTTTATTTCCTTCCACATCTGATAGATTTGGCATCTTATGAAAGAGCTTCATGGTACAAAATGCAGCCAGGTATTGAGGAAAATCAAAGCTTACCTAGAGTTAAGTACAACGTATATTCATAACCCGAGTTCTAACTTTAAATACCTAATGCAAATTATGCGAATCATTTCAGTGCTGAAATAATCATAATTCTAGAATTTCAAATCGAAAGGTACTTTTACCAAGATCAAATAAATCAAAATCATTCCTAAGGACCAGACATCAACCTAGAAATAAAGAGAAGCAAAGTCACATAAGTCTTATTCAAGTACAAGCCAGTTATTAATACTAATTAAATTACTTGCTATAAAATTGATAGATACATAATTTAGGAATTCAAATAGAAAATGTTGCACATGTTTGCATAGTCTGGTACAAACATAAAGAATATTTGGGGTAATTAATTTGAATTATAATTAGTATTGAAAATCCCCAAACTATCTCTCACTTTTCAGTAAAAATTACAAGTAAACTTAAGCTAGGAAATGCATTCACAAATATGATAAGTCTTAACAGTTAGCCTGTAAACATAAGTCACCTTCTGTCTCAGCCTTAACCTGGGCTCCATAATGGTGTTAATACAGTTAGTCCCTGCTAATTCGAACTTGTATATTTTCAAATTCTCCATGATTTCAAACTCAAAACCATTTCTCTTAGATTTGTCCTTCAGCCATTTACTATCATGATAATTGCTATTTTGAAATCCCACTATTTTGAACTATTTTTCGTTTCCCCTGAGAGTTCAAAATAGCAGGGTTCAACTGTATAGCAGTACACAAAATGATTATACATATCAACCAATCAGAGAATGCATTATTTCATATTTTACCTTTGGCCCTGATGGCCCAAATAATGGAGAGAGCCCTTGACCTGATAAAACAACCTCGGGAGCTGTAAACTCTGGACAACTGTACAAAAAAAAAACAAAAAAACACATTTGGTTAACTTGACCCTCAATGTTACTGAGACTAGTGCGCTACAAAAAATTTCACTTTGTATGATCTTAACATCATACAAGAAATAGGAACCATGGTCTGTGTGACCATATATGGAGTTACACATGCACCAATGGAAGTCTTGTAGAGTTTGACACATTGTAGAAATACATTGTCAAGCCCATAACAGCTTACATTTGAAATTATCTCAAACTTTACTAAGTATTCAAATTACACTTTATATCTAGTATAAGTAGAACATACTTGATCTGTTTGGTAGAGAAAAAGGTTAAAATACAGTAGACTGTAGACTGGAAACTTGAGTTTCCACTGAGAAATACATGTAAAAACACTGACATCTTGTTTCAAATAATATTTTGTTTTTGGTAATATTTTTGAGAAATTTACAACTCACCCTACTGGAAATGCAACATGTGCTCCAAAACCTGTCATGTAGTATAACCCACTTCTGGACAACTTCACTTGGCCCTGCGTTAAAAATTAAAACCAAAACAACAAACTGTTTTTTAACTTGACTGCGAGTATGTTTGCAATACTGTTCTAGTATACTACAGGGCCAAAAAAAAAAGTGTCATCTGGTTGTCCTGGATGAGTACATTTTCCTGCAGCTGGGCAAGTTACTTTTTATTCTCACTCACCCAATGGGCAAGGGCTCAGGCAAGTCATATGCCAACTAAATTAGCAAGAGAGCACATTAAGACTTGTCCACCAGGCAAGCAAAACTTGATTCAGAGCTACTTGTCCAAAGGACAAGCTTGAATTCAATTTGTCTTTTTTGAGGTGAATTAAAGAACAACTTCCAGTTGGTTACCTTAGGTGTAAGTGATATGTTCCCGGGAGACAAATTCCTATGGACAATGCCTTGTGCATTCAGGAAGGAAAGGCCATGAAGAACGTCAAAAGCAATGTTTGTGATATCACTGTAGCTGAAAAATAAGGACATGTACAAATCAAAATAACATTAATGGATAAAACACATCGGTAGAAATATTAATTGTTAACTAGCAGTCAAATGCTTATTATGTAGGGTAACCCGAAAACACTGACCCCCGGTCCACGGACCCCCACTACATGGACTACCTATGGACCAGTCCACGGACTACCCCTACGGACCCCCTCTACGAACCACCCCTCAAAATAGAATAAAATTAGGAAATAAATATTTCACTTGTGGGTTGTCTAATAGATTACTCATGTCGGCAAGATTTCGAACGTTACAGCGTGCAAATGTACCATTCTTGGGTTCAGGCTCGAGTGCAAGTCATATCATTACACATTGCCATTTCCTTTACTGTGGCCCAACAGTGAGTATATGAAAAACCAGGAAGCCTCCAGGAAGCCTCTGGGAAGCCTTGAAATTTGTGCTCTTTCCCCTCTGCCATTTTGTTCAGCCATTCTCGC